GGGAAAGAGAGAGGGAAGTTTGTGTGTATGTGTATGAGAGGAGTGAGATGGCGAGAATCTCAGCTACGTTCCGAATTGTTTATATTCATTAGAAAGAAATCAACAGCGCTTAGTATGTAAGAAAGACAACCTCTGAAGATAGGGAACATCTTTTATGCAGTGCAGGAAAAGAGCAGATTCATCTAAGGGACAGAATTTGAGGATGAGTGGGGAGTTAATGTGTGTACTAGTTTTTTTACCTCATTTTTGCATTAAAATGTCATCAATGAATAGAATCTCAGCGTAAAGGATTAATTTAAGGGGGACACTGCGGGGGGTGCCCTCTTTCACCAATTCTGTTTGCTCTTGCATCTACAAGCCTGGCATGCCCGACTGTGATTAATGAGCAACTAGAAGGGATTACAGTCTGTAAGGGGAGGTACATGTACTCATCCCTTCCCCTCCCAAGCATCTCTTGATAAATATGGTACCTTCAGTATTCCTGGCAGATCCTGGAAGGGTTCTCCCCTCATTGTGCTTGTGTTTTCAATGAACTGTGTTTCTTCTCAAAAAATTGACAAAAAATAAAGCTGAAAGCATCTACTAAAATCACAGAGATCGAAGTTTCTTTTCATCCTCTCCAGGAACAAGACTCCATTGTAAGAAGCCTTTTCAAAGTCGGCACAGTGCTACAGCTTATATGTTCTGCACTCAGAAGGAAAGCACTGACCCTGATAGGAGGGCTCCTCAAAATGCCCATGCAGGCAGAGGCGCTTGCATCAATGGCTCTTTTGGCCGTATCTTCCTCTTGAACTGCTCAAGAGGAGATATATCTATTGATTTGCAGTCAGATTCAGACCTTCAGATTTCAACATTCACATCATTGCACCTAAGTAGCTGGTCTCCATTCTACATGGCAGAACCCGAGGAGTATCTCAAATGCAGCTCACAGCTTTTCTGCTGTAACTCAGATCTTTTAGGAAATTATATATTTCCGCATATGGGTTTTTTCCTCTTCCAAATTTTTGTATAGAAGCTCTTGGTTTATGAACAAATACTGCTTTTCCTTTCTATAGCATGTTCCATTTGAACTTGCTGAGCTTTGGACAAACATTTAGGTAGTCAGACTTACAACTTCTGAGGTAGGGAAATACTAGAAATATCTGCTTTGCAGGTCAGGGTGCTCCTTGAAATTATGCAGCTTGCCCAGGTCACACAGGACATCTATGCATTTCATTCAGCTGTTCTCCAGTTAGGCTTGCTACTTTTCTGTATTGCAATTATATTAATTCCTCTTTTAGTAGCGTTCCAGTATGTTTCAACTACATTACTATGCCTAGTGCTGCACACTGCATCTGGGATAGGAATGCAGTGTTGCTCTTACTAGGCTGTCAAAGAGAATATATCATTACAAAAATAAATAATGTCTAGCTGCTTCTGGCATTTCAGTCCAAGCAGCATTTATCACTTCTGGCTGATCAGTGCCTGATTCAATGCCCCTAAAAAACAATGGGTATATTCCCAGTTGAATTCAATGTGCATTTAATCAGGTCTTTGCTAACTGTGCTTCCAAACTTCACATGTCATGAGCACTACAGTACTGTCTCTTCTATTTTTAGAGCATTATTCCACTTACTTCACTGTGCAGATTGATACAATGGATTTTCCTCCGCATGGATTATGCCAATGAATGTATGTTTGTATAACCAGGCTCTAGTTTTAGTTCTAGATTTAGTTAATCCCCAATGTGATGCTGCCTACATGCGTGGCAAGCTGGGATTAATGCTAAAAATATATATATTTTTTTATCATAAATGAACAAAAATATTCAGAAAGACAATTAAATTTCATATATGAGTTCAGTGACAGAAAGAATCTTCCACTATTCAAACTGTCTGCTCTTCTGACTGAGCATTCCTCTCCAGCCTTCACAGGTGAAGACAGCTTTCTTGGACCCAGCATAGTCCATCCAGACAGAAGTCCTGGGTGGCCTTTAACAAAGAAAACATTGCTCCACAGCTAGCTCCTTCCCTGATGTGAGTTGGGAACAGCTTCATCAATGGATGTGAAGTGAAGGAAGGAAAGGAAGCTTCCATTAAATGTCTGTAATTTTTAGTTCTCCAAAGTATTTTTTAAATTCCCCACTCAAAAAGCTGAAATGAAACCAGTAGCAGTTTGTAATTGCAGTTCCTCTGAAGAGAGGGGGTAAAGAATGGGATGTGATGTGCTGAGACAGCTTACAGACACTTTAGAAACAAAAATTACATCTTAAAACTATGAGTAGATTTAACAATTGAACTCTAAAGAATTAAACACCATATAAACATTTCACACTTTTTTTTCTTTCCAAGGGTCCATCATCTAGTCATTCAATCCTGTGCAAAGGTCATGTTACTATGGATATGACCTGCAAGAAATGTGTTGCCTCAGAGCAGTGCAAGTCACATGAACAGGCTAAAAGCCAAGACCGCTGATTCACAGTCTTGTCAGGATTTTCGTGCTTGTGTTGGTTTCACCGAAGAATAGTCCTTGCACCATCAAGTCTATGTTCGTCCTTTAAAAGTGTTCATGCAGGTGTAGCTCCCAGAAAACTTGTGGATTTCTTCAAGTGCTGCCTGAGGGAGAATACTGCAGGAAAAGCAGAAAGGAAATAAGCAGACCAGACAAACCTCTTAGTCTATTCTAGTAAGAGGATGTGTAAATAGGCATTTATGTATACACATACGTAAGTACACATATTCTCAAAAGTCAGCTAGTGAGAGAACACAGACAAAGCACATCAGTATCCTGCTGTCAGTAGGCCTAAAAGGAGAAAGTTATGTCAAGTCACACTTTCAGTGGAAATATTTATCCAAAAAGGTCTGTAAAAACTGTAACTTGGAAGATACGATCATGTTCTATTCCTCCCAAATATCACGCAGAATCTTGCACTCTGAAATACACAAATTTGAACTCAGTTCTTGGGTTAATTTGCCATCTCTTTGTGCTAGGCATGTGGCCTCCTTGTCATAAGGTACGGATATAGATCTAATTTCCTGACAACTATGTCACAGAAAATAAATGATTAATTCTTACAATAAAGGAGAAGGAGAACAGTCCTTTTTCAGTCTGTAGAATTTCTGGGAACTTTTGAGAGTATTCCAAATCTTATATTCAGAGCAAAGCATTTATTGTGAATTATTTTTATTGTTTAAAATGCAATATTGTAATTATTTTCCACAGAAATCTCATTGCCTTGTTTCAGTTCCTGACTGAAGTAGGTTTTCCAAAGGCTTTAGTGCAAACTCCCATGGAAACACAATTTTAAATGTCCTTTCTCTTTAGTTGTTTCAGAATAGGAAGTTACAACTTTCTTTCCTTAGGGACTTTAAAATTCCTGTCCTAATCATACACAAAAATATTTTTTTAATAGTTTCATTGCTTTAACACAAGCAACGCTCTCTAAATACAGCTGGGATGTACACACCTTATTGTAGAGAAATCCTTTACAATATAAAGCCCGTAGTCCAAAGAGTGGCTTACTAATCAAAATCAACTTCATATGTTCAATCATAACTGCATATGTCAAGAAATTTCCTAGATATGAATACCAGTTCAGATCTCAGGAATCCAATTTTTGGGGGTGAAACCAGTTTCATAAAGGGGTTATACCTAGGGAAAACATCTACAAAGGGAAATCTCAAAGTTTTCTCCCTTTTGCTTCTATGACTGTCTTTCATGGGAAGGAATGAAGCAATCTGATCCTGGATAACTGGGGTTTGCCTTGGTGGACAGAGGACTGTGAGCTAGTCTTGCCTAACTGGCTAGGCTATCGCTGGGCAAAGGAAATACTTACCTTTTTAGGATGACAAGAACATGCATTGTCCATGGAAGGAGCAGGAAGGCTTGATTCATTTGAACGGCTTCTACTGTCCTCCTAGCCACTGTCTCTGGCTTGAGAGGAGGAAAAAGATTAGGGAACCTGAATAAATAAAGTAAAAAATAAAATAATTATTTTTTAACCAAACTACTTCTTTAAGATATCATTGTCCAAGTCCTGCTGCTCACTAAGCTGTCACTGGTTAGTGGCATTCAAACATGCCCCAAAGCAGGCTGGAAGGAGCAGAAAGTTCCAGTTCCAGCCAAAAAGCTGGAAAGCAGAAGGCCCAGTTCCAACCAGTATGACTGGGTTAGCTAAACGGTTAAGAATGTATATGTTGGTGCCGTTAGGGAGAAGCAGCAGTGTATTCAGAACCTTGATTTATGGATTTTCTTAAACTGTATGGAAACCAATACCAAAATGCTGTCCTTTCAGTGTTGGTGTTTTTCCCTCTTCCTCTCTGTTGCTCTTTGCTTGATTCAGATTCTTGACACGTGAAAGACAAGTATTTTCTCCCATTGCTTTTAACACCATAAGGCTTTTCCCAGCTCCAGCAATAGCTTGACACTGCTTATTTTCTTGACCAAGAGAGCACAAACTGTATTAATAGGTAATTTTGTCCATTGTAAAAGATTAATCTGGTCAGCCATTAGTCTTTGAATTTACCTTGTTCTCTTAGAGGTAAAAAGGAGGTACTGATAGCCTTACTTCAGTAAGTGACTGTCAATCCTTTCAGTAGAAAAGAATTAAGTATTTTGACAAATAAAGAAGGAATTTGAAGTGTTCATTCTCAAGTAATTTCTAGACTGCTCCCTTTGAATGACCTCAATTTTCAGATTGCCTCCCCTCCCTCTCTGGCGGTAGCACATGGCCCAAATACACTCAAGGAAAAATAGCTTTCCGTTTTCTCTGTAGAAGCAAATGTCTCATTCAGTACAGGCAGGCTGTATGAATATGCCAGCAAACTGAGGGAACCAGTCTGATGAGTCCCAGGTGGCCTAGAGTGACCCTCTGTTCCCAGGCAGCCAAATGAGACATCACATTCTCTTAACTAAATGAAGCATTAATTAGGAGTGTATTCTGATGATTCATTTAAAATGAGATGCTTTATTCTAGTTCCCCTGGACTAACCTGATTCTCATGCCCTGAAACATCTCTGTGCTCGTGTGGAAGGGCAGGACTGTTGTGGCATTCACTCCAGGACAGTCTAGCAGCCCCAAGGTCAGGCTCTCCATAAAGGCAAAGGAGGAGGCTTTGGAGGTGCAGTAGTCAATGGCACCAGGAATGGCTGACAGGGCCAGGACAGAGTTCAGGCAAACAATGTGTCCATTCTGCAACTCCAGCATCCTTGGCAGGTATGCTTTGGTG